ATGGCTTTCGACCCCTCTGCAAGATTACTGATAAACGTTCCTATCCTTCTCAACAGTGACCTAGTCCGGCGTACCAGAGAAACGGTGCAAGTTGCGATCCCACGAGCAGTGCTGCGACAGGCATCTGTGGCTTCCAGTGTCTCCTGCGGGATGGAATTCTATCTTGCTCTTGGGCGCTCACCAATGGATTTCCTGGAGCGCATCAAGCGTTTCACGCTGAAGGTATTCCCACATAAGAACCAAGTTCTGTAAGCCCTCGAGTGCTAGTGAGACGCCTCAGCATAACCCCGGCACACTTCGTTCCTCCCTCAGTTTGTCAGATGAAAACACCCTAGGGTGTTATTTGGCGACGGGGTTTCTAAAGTGGACCGGAGAGTAGCACAACTAATCGGCGCTTCTTTACCTCTAACGAGTGCTAACGAGGATGTGGTCGCTCTCTCTTTCACGAAAACCTCGAAACAAAACCAATTTCACTAAGTGGAAACATACGTTACGAAAATAGGGATTCATGAGAGGCTGCAGAATGCCACAAGTTATGATGATATCGTTATAATCCATTAGCATTCCGTAAATCTACTATGCACTATATTAAAATGAATAGTTTATTGACTAAAAATGGACACGTAACATAAACAAATTATGTGATTGGTTAAGGGGTAAACTATTTATAGTTAGTACATAGTTGAACAAATATATTTTCAACAAACAGGTGGATCTAAAGAAAGGTTGTGAGCTAAAGTAGGAAAAACCTTTTAAATCACAGAATCTTAGCCCTCATTTCCGCCGTCACGGACAGGAATCGAGGGGGCGGGCTAAGCTAAGGGGGCGAGTCGTTAAGAGAAATGATCAACAACATAATAACGAGTGACAAGTATGATATTATAACAGTAAAGTTCACGTTATAATGTAGATACAATCGTATAGAAGAGTGAAAAGTGCCAAAATCCGAGGGAAACTTTAAGATGCTGCTCTTTTTCTCATTTTCATAGAGAAGTCATGGTTTTATTCGTATTTTAAAGATATATGAGCTTGCATATAATAGCATTGAGATTTGTAATATCAGAAAATCTCTAGTAGGGTGTTAATGTGTAGAAAAAGAAGCTAATATATAGTTGTAGATCACAGGAATGGGAATGAGATAAGGTTTGGGAACAGTGCATCAAATTAGGTTGTAGAGAGGAATCAACGACCAGATTTCCCTACCAAAAAATAAATTAAATGATAATAAAATCAATAAACATAATTATATAGATAGTATGATAAAATAATGCATAAATAAAAACAACTAACAAATAGACCTAATAATATCCTCCAAACAATCAATATAAATACGTTATTGCTTCGCATTCAGTACAAAACTCGCTAAAATATATTATAAAAACCAACGAAAAAATCCTTAAAAGCCAAAAATGTCAGAGATTCCACAGCTAATGTACAATCGACAGGTCTGCCACATCCCTGACCATTCTTCCCCATTCACTCGGAGAAATTTAAACTCCCTGCGTTTTATATTTCATATGAAACCAGGTGCGTGCCGAGGGACAAGTTTTAACCGACTTATGAGAGATCTTATTCAGAGAGATATTGAGATGGCAGCTGATGAGTTTATAGTAATTTCTAATCGCCAAAGACTTTACTCCGTTTCACGAATGATGAAATGTATTATTTGGAGTGAGGCCGTTTGTGTCAAAATGGTTAGGTTCAGTCACCCCCCCCCCCCCCACCCACCCACCCACCCATGTTGAGCTTGTGTAATCTTTGTTTCGAGATATTGTTATCTTTGAAGGTAAGACTTTCGGACCTTGATTTCTGTTATTGTATTTATAATGCCTGTTCTTTATCCCATGATAATAAACTCCCATCATATTTTCCGTTACTCGTAATGTTCATGCTTTTTCTCAGACTGGATCTTACTAGCGTCAGGCATGATCACCTTGGCAGATATTGCTGTGCATATTTTTTATTGTTGTTATCAAAACAATGGCATTTGCATAAAAGCGGAATTACTTTAATTCGTCCCAGCTTAAACGGTTGTTTATGTCGCCATTTCCCGAATGTGATCAGCGTTATGAACAGGATTAAACCCGGCAATACTGCTCTTAAAACAAGGTATAACAATAGCATTTGACTCGTTTAATATTAAAAGAGCGCTGGCACAAAAATTATTAGCAGTGTGGTAGAGAGACTACTTTGGAACAATTAAGCGTTCTTTGTAAACTTAATAACTTTTATTAACAAATTATAAGGGAAAAAAAAAAGGAGATTGTGGACTAACAGCTTTAAAACATATGATGCTGATGTGATGATATTTTAGAGTCGATGCGAGTGCATGATCTTTTATATAGTTGCGGATAGTCAAAACCGGTTAACAACCTTCATGATAAGGATAAGAAATATAAGGAAAATTATGTGTGAAAAAAGTAAATATTTTAACATTGATATAGTCTTCTCCTAATTGTTTCTCATCCAATCGTAGTAGTCCATCTGTCATTGTCATTCA